TAGTGAAAGACATTATTATACTGGACAATAAACAAACCTGCGCTGTGCTCCTGAAAGATCTCTCTCTCTTCCAACGCTATACCATACAAAACAACTCTAAAAAGCTAATATTGAATAAAATCAGCCAATGCCTCTGCTTACAAGGTATGAAGAAGTGCAAGAAACTCATGGAAAATTGTTTCCCAGAAGAAGAAGCCAGAAACTCTGGGTATTAATTTCTAATGAAAAAGAAAAAAAAACCTGTAACCCACAAGACACCAGTAATACCAGTGGTACCAGTGAGATAATTTGAAGTAGCCCAAATGTGTTCCATATGCCTTTCATTCTTGTTCCCCAATAACCCACCACATAGGCAACTACTGATAATAGTATCCTTCTAGAAACATTCTGCAATGCTTGTTTCCATACCCATATTGGAAAATGTCACAATTTCTAGGGCACTGGATGTGATACAGAGAAAAGCCTTGCCTCATGCATGTTACATTTTGGATAAGTGTCTTTCAAAGGCCCATGTGCTGGCTTAGTTCCTAGTATGTGGTGTTACTAGAAGGTGGTGAAACTTTCAGGAGGTAGAACCTAGCAGAAAAACGTTAGCGTTCATTGGGGATTAGCACTAAAAAGGAATAAGGGACCCTGGCCCCTTCTGCCGCCCTTTACTTCCCAGTCATCATGAGATGAATATACCTCATCCACCACACAATCCTGCCATGATGTATGGTGCCCTCATAGACCCAAAACAACAAGGCTGGCAAACCATTGCCTCGAAAATCATGAATCAAAATAAACCTTACCTCCTATAAGTTGTTTATCTCAATTACTTTGTCATAATTATGAAAAGCTGACCAACACCTCAGCAGTGGGGGCTAATTAGCTAGAGAGTCAATAATGCTCAGATCCAACTGGACAAAAGCAAGATCCAAAAGATTTAAACTTTGTATGTACCTTAACAGCACGCTAGAACAAAGCTCAGGAATATTTTTAGGAATATAAAAATATTTAGCACCCAACAAACAAAAATTCACATCCAGTGTGTAGTAAAAAATTACCAGATGTGTTAAAGAATACAAACCATAAAGAGGAGAAAAATCAATCCATTGAAACCAATTACAACTGACAATGATTTTTGGATTAGTAGAGAAGAATATTGTAATAGCCTGAGTCTATTTCATATGTTCAAAAACATGATCTAGAGAAATAAAAGACAAAGAGACCCAAATTGAACTTCTAGAGATGAAAAGTACATTGTGTAGGATGAAAAATACAGTGCATGGAATCAACAGATTAGGCATGAGAGAAGAAAATAAGTGATTTTTTAAAATGCCATTCATTTTGATTTTTTAATTCTTTTTAGGTACACGACGTAGAGTGTAGTTTGACAATTTAAATTATACTCATTTTAATTAGGATCCTACTTTGTTGTTGTACATGATGTGGAGTTTCACTGGTTGGTATTCATATATGAATATAGAAAAGTTTGTCTGATTCATTCTACTATCTTTTCTATTCTCATACCCCTCCTTTCCCTTCATTCCCCTTGTCTAATTCAATGAACTTCTAGTCTCCTTCCATCCTTATTGTGTTCGACATCTGTAGCAATTAGAGAAATGCAAATTAAAACTACATTGAGAGTCCATCTCACTCTAGTCAGAATGGCAATTATCAAAGAATACAAATAACAATAAATGTTGGTGAGGATGTGGGGAAAAGGTTAATTCATACATTGCTGGTGGGAATGCAAACTGGTGTAATCATTCTGGAAAGCAGTATGTAGATTCCTCAGGAAACTTGGATTGGAACCACTATTTGACCCAGTTATCTCACTCCTTGGTATATACCCAAAGGACTTAAAATCAGCATGCTACAGTGATGGCAACATCAATGTTTAGAGAAGCTCAAAAATTCTCCTCAAATTGGTCTAAAGTTTCAGCGCAATTATTCACAATAGCTTAGCTATGGAACCAACCTAGGTGCCCTTCAACAGATGAATGGATGAAAATGTGGTATAAGTACATAATGGAAAAAAATGTGGTATAAGTACATAATGGAATATTACTCAGCCTTAAAGAAGAATGAAATTATGGTATTTGCCAGTAAATGGATGGAACTGGAGACTATCATGCCAAGTGAAATAAACGAATACCCCCAAAAAACAAAGTCTGAATGTTCTCTCTGATATGTGGATATTGACACACAATAAGGGCGGGGGGAAGGATAGAAGTTTGTTTAATTAGACAAAGGGAAATGAAAGGAAGGAAGAGGTAATGGGAATAGGAAAGACAGCATAATGTATCTGATATAACTTTCCTATGTTCATATATCAATGCACCACCAGTGAAACTCCACATCATGTACATCCGCAAGAATGGGATCCTAATTAGAATAAGTTGTACTCTATGTATGTCTAATATATCAGAATACACTGTACTGTCATGTATATCTAAAAAGAACAAAAATTGTGAAAAAAAATGAATCTAGGTGCTAGGGATATAGGTCAGTGGTAGAGTACCCACCTAGCATGTATCAAGGCCCTGGGGTCCATCCCCAGCAGTGCCAAAAAAAAAAAAAAGGTTCATGCAGACTGGAGGGGTAAGAAAGTGCTTCATTTTTACATGGAATGGTACAATGTCAACTTTAAGCAAACTGCAAAAAGTTAAAGACATATCATTTTTTGAGCAACTACTGCAGATTAATTCAGTGAATAAACTGCATATTAATTCCTTGAATAAGTGTTTCTGGTGCTATTTATAACTAAGGGTAAAATAACTTAAAATTATACTTTCAGAGTCTTTTAAGAACCTAGAGCAGCAACAATAACTCAGGAAATGTCATTTAGAGGGGGAAAGTGTACTATCTACAAAATTTATTAAAAGGTGCCTAGGAACAAACCTAAAAAGAATGTGTAAGCTTTTTTATGGTGAGAATTATAAAACTCTGCTAAAGACACTTAGAAATTTAAATAATTAGAGCTATATAATGTTCCTGAATAGGGAAGGGCCACTGTATCATAAAGAAAATTCTCCCCAAATTGATCTAAAGTTTCAGTGCAATTATAATTAAAATTCTGAAGGGAGTATTAGTTCTAAAAGGGAATGTAATTACAGAAAGTAAATGTGTGGATACTGATAGGGCAAGGGTTGCGGGGGAGGAGGGAGAAGGGAGAAATTACAAATGTCAAGAGAAGATTTTTAGAGTGATATGTATATTATATTGTTTATGGTTTCACAGGTGTATTCATATGTCAAGTGGTACACTTTAAATAGATGAAGTTCACTATATGTCAGACTTCAGTAAAGCTGTTTTTTAAGTCAACAAAACAAAAAAAGGGTTTTAGAAACATATATACAGATGTACATCTGAATTATAAATTACAAATAAAAAGTAAAAGAATGATAACTCAAAAAGAGAATTAGTTGGAGTGAGGGAAAGAGTGCTACTGTGAGAAAGGCACCACAGGCAGCTTGTCATGTTCTGGTATTGGTATGACTCTATTTCTGACACTAAGCCCTGGCTGTCTTAGTATCTTTCTTTAAGTTACATGCATATTTTATACAATCTATTGCATAATATTGATAAATTTCACAATTTTAAAAAAGAAAGTCAGGGGATAGGAACACAATAAATGATTAGCTTAACTACGTTCTATTGTTCCTAGAGCTGAGTTCCCTTCAAACCTTTTAAACCAACAGCTAGGATTAAGCTCTTTCATTTGATCTGGATCACTAGTTTGAAAATGGCAAACTCTTCTTATCAAAGAAGAGACAAGAAAAATCAAACAAAATCTATTGCTTACTACCCTATACATTACCCCATTTCTGCTAATAAGTAAACAATCACTGTAACCTTTCACACCCCCCTGTTGTGGTAGGCACAAGTAGTAATTAATACTTAGGCAGTACCTACCACCTGGCATAGAATTATCTTTGCACACATTTTTTTTTTTTCCTATAAGATTATAAATTCCTCTGCTGGGTACAGTGGCCCATGCCTGTAATCCCTGCTACACCAGGAGGCTGAGGCAGGAGGATCTCAAGTTTGAGGCCAGCCTTGCAATTTAGCAAGACCCTAAAGAAAAATGGTTGAGGATGAAGCATGATAGAGTGATAGAGAGCCTTTGGGTTCAATCCCAATTATGGGGATTATAAATTTCTCCCTTCAAAGCTGTTAATGTTTCGTTTTCTTCCATTTTTTTGTTGTTGTTGTTTACTTGTACTGTCTATCAAACTACTGAAATTAAAATATTAAGGCAAATTTATTGCGGTTGTTTCCATGTAACTTCGCCTGACAATATACAATTTTGCTGCTAATGGTTTTGCAGTCCCAGTCTGACCATAGCAGAGAAGGCAGGGACCTCAGGCTTCCAACAAAATAAGAACCAATCTTAGGTTTCAGTTGGAAGAGAGGAGCTAAGCTGTGCTCCTGGCTTGGTTCTTGCCATCTATTCAGCTGTTTGGGATGAGCTGCACATCTTGTCGGCCACTTCAAGTTTTTAATCAGGAGATCTTGGAAGAATGGTGCCGACTTCACTTTCTACAGCAGGTATCTTAGAACACTGTTTTGGATTCTTTGCATGCTAGTTTTTAATACTTCCTTGGGCCAGTACGCCTTATGAATCCTCTTAACACTATAGAGTATTTGGCATCTGCATAACCTGCGTCCTAACCTCCAGGCGCCGTCCCGCGGTCACTGACACGAGGAAGGGAATACTACTAACACATACATTCGGAAGGTCTTAAATTTCCCTTAAGAGGGTGTAGAATGTAAGGCTCAGCCCGGAGTCTTACAACCGCTATCCCACGCCTGAGAAAAGGTCACGCCCCCTGCAGACAACTACACCGGGTCTTTAATCGACCCGCCGCCGCCTTCCCGCCTCCCTCCGGGACGCGCACTTCCGGCCGCGAGGGTGTTCGGGAGCGCGCGCAGCGAGCTTCCACCAATCAGAGGCCGCGTCTGGTCGGCCCGAGTGCGCGCGCGCACATTTGTGCGCAGGTTCGAATCTCCGCCGCTTCGCGGTTGCTGCCCAACGTCCGGGCCGCACCTCTGAGGCGGCTAAGGCCGCGCAAGAGGGCGACACTCGACTCTACCCGGGCAGCCCCGCCCCCTTCCCCTCGCCACCTTCCAGACGCAGCATAATCCGGTCGGCCTTGCCCTCTCTCGCGCGTCCCGCGCTCCGCCCTGCGACTATCGGCGCTGGGTCCCGCGCCCGGCCGTCTCCGCCCTAACCCTTAGGCCCATGGCCAAGCGGCGTGCGGCTGAGCCTCTGACGTTCCACGTGCCTTGGAAGCGGCTCCTGCTCTGCGACTTCACGGAGGAGCCGCCGCCGCCGTCGCCGATTTGGATCCCGCCGTCGGGGCCCTCGCATTCTGGGCTACCGCGAAAGCGCAAAATCGACGCAGGAGCCATGTCAGAGCCTTCGGCTTCGCCCAGCAAGCGCCGCGACAGCGGGGACAGCAGCGCCACGAGCGGCGGGGAGCGTGAGGGCCGCGGCCTGGAGACGGGGGAGCCATCGCTGCCGCTGCTGCCGGGAGGGCCCCGGGGGCCAGGGGAGGAGCCCCGGGACGTCCAGCCCCCGGGGGGCGGTGGTGACGACGGGGCGGGGCGCACAGGGCCCCCGCGGGAAGACTGGGGGGCCACACCGCTCCAGGTAGGGGTTGGGGGCTGGTGGGAGAAGGTCTTCCCCTTTTCCTAGCCACTGCGCGCCCAGAAAGGAACGGATCCCCCACCCTCAAGTTGGGTCCGTTAACACCCCCTAAAAGGCAAAAAGCCGGGTCTCGGGCAGCACGCGGCGCCCAAAGCCCGCCTTGGCAGTATCGGAGGAGTCTGAGAGGAACACTGGTAGACCAGGTGGAGGTAGCATCTGCCAGGGCACTGCAGGAGAAGTGGAAGCGTGGGCCTGGGCAGGCTGTAGACGTTGACTGAACCAAGGGGTGCAGCTCAACGACAAACGTCAGGGAAAGGGAGTGCTCGCCCTCGTAGGGTTAACCAGGAAGAGAATCCGTGACCGGAGGCAGAGTGGTCGGCTGGGAGCCATCTGTTAATTGGGCATATTGGAGGCTTGGTACAGCCCTTTGGGCTGAGAGGAAGTCCTTTTGTATCTTTGGAAAACCCTTTTCTAACTGTTCAGTGTTAAACCCCATCATATGAAGACGGATTGTTGATATTTGTGCATCAAAGTAAAGCATTTATGAGAATCACGGGGAAGTTTTCCCTTTTTCGCTTCTCTGCATCAAAGAATCCTTAAAAGATCTGATTTGTCCAGATAGCCCAGCCTCTAGTTGTGTGATCCTATGAAATACTAGAAATGTGACTAGTTCAAAACAATGTGTGCTGCTATACGTGCAACACATGAGATTTTTGAAGATTTAGTAAGAAAAAGATAAACTATTGATTACTCAAGAAATGATTTATAGGCTATTAAGGTATATTAATTTCATCTTTTTCTTTTTTAGTATAACTACTAGGAAATGTTTATTTTATGGCTCATGTTATCTGTTGGGAACTTTGATCTAGATTTAGGAATTTGATTTTTCCCAGTTCTGGGATGACTTACTAGGAGAGTTGTCCCCGGTGGAAGAATCAAGTTTAGGGGCTCAGAATTCATCAGTCTTCAACCACTACAGTATAGTATCCACTCAACTTTGTTCTGTGGGCTTAAATGTTTTGGACAGAGTTGATTAACTACCTTGCAGGATTTAAAAAAAGAAAAATGCATTTCCTTTGTTCAAATTTTATAGTTAGGAAAGATTATTTTTTCCTGTGAGAGAAATTATCTTTTAGACTTAATCACTATGATCACCATTTCTGAATGAAATTAGAAATTGTAAGTACTTCTACTTCAGTTTTCTTAGAATTTAGAATAAACATCAGCCTTATTTAGGCTTTTTTCTTCAAAATGCTTTTAGATGTTCAGAATCCCCTTCCTTAAAACAATGAGTCATCCAGACCTGTTGGTTATGGAGATAGGTCCTTTGTAGTTAAAAATCATACTCTTGAGATGATTGTTGGGACCCCACCCATATGAAGGCTTGTCTTTCCTACCACAATGTGGTATGTGCCATATGCCATAGAACTGATAAGAGGGAAATACGAAAATAACAGGCAAAAAAGTAGAGTGACATAAAGACACTTGCTTAGAATCTCCTAGAAACAGCTAGTTGTGTTACACAATTGACTAGATCCGGCAGTGCTCAATTTCCATTAGTTGCTGCAAGCTCATGGAAGGAAGAAGTTTGGCTCCTGGGATTTCTTCTTCACTGAGACTGGTCTCCTGCCGCTTTTTCTTTGAGCAAAAACCTGGAACACTCAAATTCCTTTTGTTAAGTCTCTTCCTTAGGCTGCATCTCTTCTGCAAATCTAAGAGATGGATGTGCTTTTTTCTGCCTCCCTCTTAACTTTTTGCTTCCAAAGACCCAGGCTTATTGTTTTAAGGGTATTATAGCTTATTACAAGGGAAAATAGCAAAAAACATGGAGATGGAAAAAGCTTGTTCAGTTCAATGTAATAACTGCCTGGTTTCTGTTGGTGAGAATAAAGCTTAAGTTCCTATCCTCACCCCTGGGGTCTCATTTAGAAAATACTACTTCATATACCTTCTTTCTAAATCAAAGATGCAATACCAGCAGAATAAGGCACTTCTTTGAGGGGGGGTAGGGTACTGGCAATTGAACCCAGGGACATTTTGCCACTGATCTTATTAATTTTGAGACAGGGTCTCCCTAATTTGCTTTGGGTGTTATTGAGTTTCTGGGGCTGGTCTCAAACCTCTGTCCTCCTGCCTTGGCTTCACGAGTTCCTGGGATTACAGGCATGGGTCACTGTGTGCAACAAGGTACTTCTTTTCTGTGCTGAAACCTTAGAATATTTCCTACATTGGTTTCAGATATAGTTTTTATTGGAGAACTTAAAAAGTCACATATTAAGTATACATATTTTTCATATTAGTGTCATTTTAGGCAAATTCATTGCTCTATCAGTGTTGACTGTTATAGCTGTTTTAACAGTAAGCGAATGTTTCACTAAGGAGAAGGTGATTAATGTTTTATATTCATTTGGGGAATGTAATACCTAGCAGTATTGAGCAATAACTGGGCTACCTTTAAATTCCCACAATGGTCCTACTCCAAAGTTACCAGTGAAATCAAGTTCAGAGTTATCCAAACCCAGGTCTGTGTGGTGGCAAAGTTTGTGCTTTTATCCTCTAGGTTCTACTGATAAAGTTGATAATTTTAACAATGGATTTTCCAAAAGAGAACTAGAACTTTAACCTCATTTTATTGAAGTGAAAGTTTATAAATTTTTGACTTGTTACATCTTTATCCCAATATTAAGAAATTCCCCAAAGGCTTCATTCTTTAAGCCTTAAATTTTAAGGCACAGAATGAACTTCCCTCTGAGACTTTCTTGTAAACTTGTGCTCTCCAGTACAATAATCCTTAAATACTAATAGCCAACAAGCATTGGAAGTGTGGCTGGTCTGAATAGTGCTGGAAGTATAAAATGCATGCCAGGTTTGAAAACCTAGAACGGATGTATTATATTAATTTAAAAAATATTGGGTATGTTAATGTTTTAGATATACTAAGTCAAATAAGATGTTAAGGTAGCTGGGCATGGTGGTGCCTGCCTATAATCCCAGCATTTTGGGCAGCTGAGTCAGGAGGATCACAAGTTCAAGGCCAACAGCAACTTAGGTCTTGTCACAAAATAAAAAATAAAATGGACTGGGAATGTCTTTTAGTAGTAAAGCACCCTTAAGTTTAATTCCCAGTACCAAAAATATTATAAAAAAGATATTTAGATTATTTCCCCTGGTTCTTTCTTTTTTGGCTTTGGTTACTAGAAAATTTTAAAGTACATATGTAATTCCCATGATATTTTTGTTAAGACAGTGCTGCTATAACAAATATAAACTTGAAATAAAAGCACAACGTAGTAGAATATATTTGGATATTGATCTGAGAATGGTGTTAATTTTCAGAATTATGACCATGTAAGCCTTCATGTAATTCCAGTGCCATTTTCTTTATACAGAGTATTTTGGGGATGCTTAAAATTCTGTGCCAATTTTTAACTTCAATTACTTGGATTAATTTTTTAGTCATTTAGAGTAAGCTGCTAAATTTTTAAGAGGCCATTACTCATTTGGATTGATAAATTTTGATATATTGATTTAAAAGTTATACCTTCTATGAAAGGATATCTTTAATGATCAACTTAACATTTTCTTTCTGTTCACCATGTTTATGTCCTACACTGCTTTAAAACACCAAACTTCAGAATAAAGACCAAAAATAAGTTATAAGGGTGTGTGTGTATAAAATCTTATTTTTCTTATTAAATTTAAAATTTAAGATCATTTTTAGACATTTGATGGGGGTACCAGAGATTGAACCCAGGGGTGCCTAACCACTGAGCCACATTCCCTGCCCTCTTTTTTATATTTTATTTAGAGAAAGGGTCTTGCTGAGTTGCTTAGGGTCTTGCTAAGTTGCTGAGGCTGGCTTTGAACTTTGATCCCCCTGCCACAGCCTCCTGAGCTACTGGGATTACAGGCATGCACCACTGCACTCTGCCAAACATTTTCTTTGGATGAAAAATTAGAAAATTCTAGAAAGCTATTTGTGGATGAAATTTTTTTAAATTTACACTATTAGCAAATACTTTCACAACCCATAAATATTAAAATGTGCAGATTTAATTGAATACATGAAGTATTTTCATTAGACAAAATTTAAAATGCATACATTTAAAATGCAAAGTGAAGTACTACAAGGTCTATTGAGTTTGTTTTTTTAAAACAAGGAAATTTGTTTCTTGGGGGGGAAACCTTTTGAGTTACTGGTGTGTTTTTGTCTCTTTTTCTTAAAGCACAATGAAGAATTTTGGCAGTATAATTCTTTCCAGTACTGGAGAAATCCTTTACCACCTATTGATCTGTCAGACATCGAAGATGTGAGTGAAAACAACCAGACAGAACCAACACTTGAGGGCAAGAATGAAGTGGTTGAGATTGACATGGAGTCCTGACATAAAGAGCTGAAGAAATGGGATTTCCTGAATTTGAGGAGACATCTCTTAAGTGAATTCATGTATTTTTTAGGAAAAAGTTGTTTTCCATACTTGATGTAGTATCATTTCCAAACCTGAAAAATGAGGAAAGGTTGTTTTGAAGATAAATGCCTGTAGTTGCTACTGACCTACTAATAGGGATTTGTCAACAATATAGCAGAGTGATAGGCAAAATATTTATGTATATATTTTTAAAGAAGCAAGTTTTGTTTAGGTTCTGACTTTTAAGAAACTGACCTTACAAAAAAGGATTCTAGAAGTTTTAGGAATGCATGGAAAATACTCAAATCTTTCTCTCATCTGCACCAAAAAGTTTGTGGCTCATGAATATCATTTTATAATAACTTATTAATAAAATAATTTCTAATACATCTTACTGACTCTTCTTAGTTGAACAAATAACTGACTTGAACATCTATGCAAACTTAAAATGTGGGGGTTCTTTGAAAGGTAGTATTGTTTTTAAAGTTTTGTAAAAATGAAAAGTAGTGAGAATTTCAATTTGGGTTTAAATAACTTCCAATATTTGATATTTGTTGAACTCTGCTATGGTTAGTCAAAAATGGATAAAGAAAAGTGAAAAGTAAGTCAGCTCCTGGTCACCTCCTCCTTTTCCAATATAAAAGGAAAGAAATTTATCATGACCACTTTGTTGGTTTTGAATTGATTTGAGGGCACGGTTTTTTATTGCTTATTACTTTAGACCTGTAGTTCTCAACACTGACAGCACTTTACAAATCTTTGCCTGGGCCCCATTTTAGAGATGCTCAATTATTCTGAGGTGGCCCTTAGATATTACTATTTTTTTAAACACAACTTTCTTTCCTCCATTTCTTTAATGTGCATACAGGGTTGAGAACCACTAGATCAATGTTAGTATTCCTGTTTAAAGGAAATTACTAATTTGAACTGAAGCAATGCCTGTTAATTAGCTTTGTTTTCATTATTCTCCATTGATGACTTTGTCACAAGTAATTTAACACTTTTCATTGTTAAAAAAAAAAAGCAATTTGTTTTGTAGTTAAGTATCAATGACTAAGTTAATTAACATTTGTACTGCATCCAGAATAGTAACTTGTCCTTACTTGTATATTTTTTTTGTTGGTGATGACAGTAAATCCAAAATTCAGAAAAGGTAGTAAATGCTAGAGGGAAAATTTTTGACATTTTGTATGTACTGCAATATGTAAATATGGGTTGACAATAAGAACAGAAGACAGTGTCTGTCATTGTGGTTAGAAATGGTTTTAAAGACTGTACTGCCACTTTCTACCTATGTAGCATTAAACAAGTTATTTTTCATCTCTAAGCCTCAGGTTTCTAACCTGTAAAATGAGAAATAATAAATAGTATCTACCTCGTACTGCTTATTGTCAAGCAATGTTCTAAGTACTTTCCATGAATCATCTTGTTTGATTTTCAACCTTATCTTAAGGTAGATTGAAAAGATCATTAGAATAATGGTAGTTTGTTCATTTCACTTGTACTGTTATTCAAAGTTTGGTAAGAAGTGAAATTGTGGAAAAAAATAAAACGGGAAGTTTTTTTCCCTTTTGCTTAACTCTGAGTGTAGGAAAATGTATCTATTTTGCCAACTATTGTATTCCTAATGCCCAAAACAGTGTCAGGCACATAGTAGACCATATTATTCTATTAGCAAATGGACTTTCTTATCTGTTAATATAAAGTGTTGCCAATAAGTTTGCTTCTTTGAATATATCTTACAAAACTAGGTTATTTGCCCAAAGATGTGTATATAAAAAGTTTGGTTTTTTTTTTTTTTGGTCAGGAGAGATCAAATAGTAAAGTGTTAGAAATAATCTAAATTCTGCATGATGGTAGGAAAAAAATCCCTATGATGGGATTCTGTCATTTGAAATGTATTGACTGGAAAGAGCTTCAAGAAATATTTTGTAGATGATAAGAACAATTTCAGAGTAATACATAGTGAATTCATTAAAATATGCACACAAAATAAGACAGAAGGAACATAATAAATTAACTAGAAAAAAGTTGACATTTCTGAGGATAATGGGATAAGGAGTACTTTTACATTTCTATAAACTTTTGTGCCATTTTAGCAGCTTTGTTGACTTGTGGTTAATATGCAATTCACCCATTTGAAGTGTATAATCCAATGGCTCTTAGTATATTTAGGTATCTAACCATTAGGGTCAATTCTAGAGCATTTTCATCACATAATAAATTTTATAACTATTAGTAGCCATTCCACATACCTTCCAGCTCCACTTGTTGGCCCAAGGCAATTACCTACTTTCTATATTTTTAAATTGTTTTTATGGCTAAATGGAGTCCTGTTGTATATATATGGTTGATTTTTATATCTTCATTTTTGTGAATAGTGCTACAATAAACACAAGACTGTAGATATCATTAGCATACTGATTATTTTTCCTTTGGATGTGTAACCAGTAGTGGGATTGCTAGAACATAAGATAGTTCAATTTTTTCCACATTTTTTATTGGTGCACAATAGTTGTACATAATGGTGGAATTTGTTGTTGCATACTTGTACATACATATTATATAGTGTATGTATAATGTATACAATATCATTCTCCAGTATTTCTTCTTTTCCCTCCAATTTTCTCTCACTCTGGTCTCTTGTACTTTAATCTCCCATTTTTATGAGATCCCTCCCCCGTTTTACTTCTTTTTCTTCTTTAGTGTCCACATGAGAGAAAACATGACCCTTGACCTGAGTTTGCTTAATGTTCTAAAGTATATCCATTTTCCTGCAAAAAGCCATAATAATTTTTTATAATTTTTTAGTTGTATATGGGCACATTACTTTTATTTATTTATTTTATGTGGTACTGAGGTTCGAACCCAGTGCCTCACACATGCTAGGCAAGTGCTCTACCACTGAGCTACAATCCCAGCCCCATAATTTCATTTTTTATAGCTGAATAAAACTATTGTGTATATATACCACATGTTCTTCATGCATTGATGGACAACTAGGGAGGTTCAATAGTTTGTTATGAATTGCTGCACTGAACATAGGTGTGCCTCTATCACTATAGAATGATGACTTCAAGTTTTTAGGATAAATGCTGAGAATTGGTATAACTGGGTTGTATGGTGGTTCTATTCCTAGTCTTTTCAGGAAACTCCATACTGGTTTCCATAGTGGTTATACATAATGTACAGTCCCACCAGAAATGTAATAAATGTCTCTTTCTCTATATCATCTTCAGCATTTATTATTGTTTGTATTCTTGATGGCTGCCATTCTGACTGGAATGAAATGAAATCTCAGGGTAGGGTAGATTTGATTTGCATTTCCTTAATTGCTAATGATGTTGAATATTTTTTCATATATTTGTTGGCCGTTTGTATTCTTTTGAGAAGTTTTTGTTTCATTCATTTGCTCATTTGTTAATTTATTTTAGTTCTTTATATATTCTGGGTATTGAAACTCTCCCTGAAGAGTAGCTAGGAATGATTTTTCCACCATTCTGTAGGGGTTCTCTTCACATTAGTATTTGTTTCCTTTGCTGTGCAGAAGCTTTTAAATTTGATGCCATCCCATTTATTAACTCTTGGCATTTCCTGGGCTTTAGAGGAAGTCATCCTATTTGTTGGAATGTTTTCTTACAGAAATTGTATAGTTTCTGGTCTAAAGCATAGGTATTTGATTTTGTTGTTGTAGGTGGACACAATGTATTTATTTTTATGTGGTGCTGAGGATCAAACTCAGTGCCTCACATATGCCAGGCGAGTGCTGTACTACTGAGCCACAGCCACAGCCCTGGCATTTGATCCATTTTGAGTTGAATTTTGTGAAGGGTGAGAGATAAGAGTCTAGTCTCATCCTTCCACATATGGATAATCAATTTCCCAGCATCATTTGTTAAAAAGACTGACTTTTCTCCAATGTGTGTTTTGGGCCCTTTCATCAAGGATCAGATGAGTGTATCTAAGTGGGTGTGTCTCCGTGTCTTCTAATGTACCATTGGTCTATATGTCTGGTTTTATAGTAGTGCAATGCAATTTTTATTCTTTATTTTTCCATTACATTTTTAAGAATTTGAAGTCATGCAGACTGTGTTTCCTGCATGATTTATTACATTTATTACATTAGAAATCAACCACCTTAAGATATACAGACCCCATCCCAACATGTCAACTATTTCAAAATTAAATGGTACAATTATAAGTGTCTCAGAGGTCAAGGAAGCACCAAAAAAAGTAAGTAAAAAGTGCTTTGAACGAAGTGATAATAAAAGCTTAAAATATCAGGATTTCTGGGATGAAACAGTATTCAGATGAACATTTTAACAAAGTACTTGCATCAGAAAGAATAAAATAACAACCATATTTCAAATTATGTAGTAGGAAGGAAAAAATAAGAGTAGGAGCAGAAATATATGAAATAGAGAAGAAATAGCTAAAATTTGATAAACAAGTCTAATAAAGGTAAAAAATAACAATGGAAAGGGACCTATCAAAATAACTCTACATTGTGGCTCAGTGGTCAAGTGCCTCTGAGTTCAATCCCTGGTACCAAAACAAAAACAAAACAACAGAAAAACATCCTACAGATGCTAAAAATATATTAAGGTGACATTACAATTGTATGGCAACATCTGTGATAGCTTATATAACATGGTCTATATTAGAGAAGGATCCATGTGCTGCTGAGATAAAAGTGTATTCAGTCATTGATGGATGAAATATTCTGTATATGTTAAATCTAAATTATCAATTGTATTTTTTACTTCTATAGCTTTTTTATTTAGTTTTTGTTTGGAGGCTCTATCCAGTGGTGACAGAGGCATGTTAAAGTTAACCAGTACTACTGCGTTGTGGTCTATTTGATTCTTGAAATTGAGAAGGGTTTGTTTGATATATGTAGATGCTCCATTGTTTGGGGCATAAATATTTACAATTGTTAGGTCTTGTTGATGTATAATTCCCTTAAGCAGTATGAAATGGCCTTCTTTGTCCCTTCTAAGTAACTTTGGCTTAATGTCCACTTTATCTGACATGAGGATAGAAACCCCTTCATGTTTACATGATCCATATGAATGATATGCTTTTTCTCATCCTTTCACCTTTAGTATGTAAATGTCTTTGCCTATGAGATGAGTCTCTTGGAGACAGCATATTGTTGGGTCATGATTTTGAATTCAATCTGCCAGTCTATGTCTCTTGATTGATGAGTTTAGCCATTAATATTCAAGGTTATTATTGAGATATGATTTGTATTCCTGGTCATTCGGATTTATTTCTAGTTGTTAATTTACGTTAGTTTCTCCTTTGATTGACAATTCCTTTAGTGTAGTTCTTCCCTTTGCTAGTTTTCACTTTTAAAAATTTTTATCTTCATGGAATATTTTGTTAA